ATGATCAATTTATCATTTCTAAATGAAGAATTGCATTTTTTATGAACCAGTTATTTAAGAGTTTTCAGTGGTTCATACGATTACTTAGAGCGAGTAAGTTAATGATTAATAACCTATTTAAATGTACATTCATACATCTTATTATTCAGACATATAGTGATGGTTACTTAATGTGTTAATAAATGCTTTATTAACATGTATTAATGCTGTTAATTTGGGTAGTTATAAAGCATTTAGTAATGGTCAGTTAACTATGTTCGTGAGCTCATCTAAAGTGAGGACTAGTCATGCCTTGTAAAGCATTTTTAAAGGCTGTTAAATATTTCCATGTTCTGTATCACTGCGTTGTGTTTGTTACATTTTACTGTTTAGAAGATTGACGAGTCTTTAAATCGCCTTTATAAATGCTTTACAAAGCATGAATAGTCCTCACTTTAGATTAGGTCACAAAAATAGTTAACTAACCACTACTAAATGCTTTATAACTACCTGTATTTACTACATTTACTTACACTTTCTAAGTGATCTTATGAATGACTGACAACTCTTAAACAACTGGTTTGTAAATAATGCTATACTTCATTTATAAATTATTAATTGATCATTAACAAAGTATGAAAATACAATCATTAAACGCATTATAGATATGCTTATAAATCAAGAAAAAGCATGTATAGCTATATTTATAAACTGCATATTAATGTCTATTAATGTTTTATAAATGATGAATTAACGGTTTACTCATGCTTAACTAATGATTAATAGCGTGCAGTTATTATAAAGTGTTACCAACCTTTTTTTTACATTTTATTTTGTAAACCAATCACACACAAAATAGTTCATACAAAAATGAAAAATCATACAAAAATGAAAATCTTTATGCCATTCCAAACATTTCAATATATATATGGCATGGTAGTTCCAGCATTCACTTACAAAAATGAATGAACGACAGGGAGTCTTTATATAGTAATTGATGAAACATCTCTCCATCGTGTCTTTTACTAAACGATTGCACTGAGAATTAAATACCCCTCAAAATAGCATCAAAGATGTACTGCCTGGAATGGTTTTAAGGCTATATTGTGTGCTGTTTTTAACTTCTTTCTTTTTTTTCGTTCTCCTTGATAAAGAGTCAATTTCTCACATTGCATCTGAGAAATCCCTGACCCTGAGCAGGTTGTGTGTGAAATATGATATGAGACTTTTCTCTGAGGGCCTATATAAGCCTGGACTGACAGCTGAGTGACAGGGGCCTGGAAGGCTCAAAACTACGGCTCTTTCCACTAGCCGTCACAGCAGCACTCAACCATGCAGGGATAAAAAAATTTTGGAATGGGTTAGAAGAAGAGAGTAGGCCTGTTCTATGAGAGTAACAGAGGGAATATTTATAAATTGCATATTTGATTTGATGTTATACAGTGTGTATTTAGATTCATTGATAATAACAGTTTTTGCGTGAGTAAGCTCAGGCCATGTCCACACTAATTCATTTTCATTTGAAAACGCTCCTTTTTCACTCCGTTTTGGCCTACCGTCCACACTGAGACATCGTTTTTTATTAATGAAAACAAAGCTTTTTGAAAACGCTCTCCAGAGTGGAAAAATTTGAAAACGCCGTTTTCGTATAGGCTATTTAAAACCATTGTAAGTGTAGTCATGTGACCTACATTATACCAATATATGTTTATACCTGTATTGTTCCTGTCATCTGCTCACTGTTAAATATGTTACTTTACACACTTTTTACGGATGCGCACATTGCGCAGTAAGGTGAATTTACAACGCATTCTCACCCCAAGGCGTCACCTTTGACCATGCTTCAATATTTGACGTTTGCGATTTCACTTTTTTGATTTTAAATAGTGTGTAATATTGCTGTTGGTGCATGAACAGTATCTGCAAAGTTGCAGCGCTGAAAGTTTAGTGAAAGCAGAGATATCATCTTTTAAAAATCAGGACCCAGACAGCAAACTGACATTGAATCAACGTGGAAACGACGTCTCTCATGACATTGAAACAACGTTGATTTTGCTCATCGAATTAACGTTGAACCAACGTCAGACGCGGCATTCTTCAAAGCTAAATGAAAATCGAAAATTGGTTTGCTTTCATAACGTTGAAACAACGCGTTGATTTCAAGTTGATTTTCCGTTAGTTTTGAAAGAATGACGCGTCTGACGTTGGTTCAACGTTAATTCGATGAGCAAAACAATGTCAGATCAATGTTGTTTCGATGTCATATTTCAGCCCATTCTCACTCCCAAGGCGCTTTGGGAAGCATTTGGACATGCTTCAATATCTGACGCTTTAGGCGCCCTTTAGCGTCAGTTAGATGACGCCCTAGGATCGCGTGTACCCTACCCCCACCCCACACCTAAACCTAACCGCGTCCTCTAACTGACGCTTTCCTTTAGCGTCAATTAGATGACGCCGTAGGATCGCGTCATGTAAGTGACGCTAAAGGGCGCCTAAAACGTCAAATATTGAAGCATGGTCAAAGGTGACGCCTTGGGGTGAGAATGCGTTGCATATTTCCACGTTGATTCAATGTCAGTTTGCTATCTGGGGAAGTTTATTGCCAACAAAAACAACTCGATTGGGACTACAGCTGGGTTTTAAACGTCACTAACCCACACATTTGCATCAACCCTCCCTCTGGAAAATGCAAAAAAAAGGGCATGGCCACATTTCTGCGGCTCGTCGAGTGTGTTGTGTTCATCCAGCTGTCAGTCTTCTGTGTTCGAGCTTCCCACGGACGCTGTACTTCGTCAACAATGGATACAATTTATGTTTGATTATGTTCCTGAAAATGATGATCGTAATTTCTGTGCTGCGCATTTTACAGAAGACAGCTTCCAGAATCTCCACGAATTTAACACCGGATTCAACAAGAAACTGTTACTAAAACATGAAGCAGTTCCAACTTTAAAACCAGAGGCAGCAGTTGTTGGGCCACAACCTGTAAGTAGGCTAAGACTTCATCATTTTAAATGTATTTGCATGTATAATTCCAGACGTTAGCCTTGTGTTTTAGTTTTATCAAATGCCAGCGCTGGCTTTATAGCCACTAGGCTACTAGTTACGCTATTTTGTGTCTACGACAAACGCATACAAACATTATGGACCTGAATTTTGTATAAGTACTAATGTTTTAAACGTATTTTTCATGTATATATGCTTTATGATGTTATTTTCGATTTGATCAAGAACGTAAACTAATGCCAACGCTGTTTGTGTTTAACAGTAGTAGCCAGTCAGTTGCTATTGTTGCCAGTCAGATGCTATTGTGTTAAACAAACGTGTATGAAGTTAAAAAAAAAAGTAGCAAATTATCATTCAGAAACGTTTAGTAAGAGCCGTGTGTGGTGAGGTTCTGGTTGCCTCTCTTCATCGCCGCTTTCTCGGTCTGATTCTGCCTCAAACTGATACTGCAGTTCGACACCATTATTCACATCTGGACCGGAGCGCTGGCATGTTTTGCCCGTAAAGGTGATGGGCGTTAACCTTCTGGACAACGTGAGCGACAGTTTAGCCAATCACAACACACCGGCCCAAACTAACCAATCTGAGCCCACTGCCTGTTTCTGAGGGAGTGTTTTCATAGAATCAGGAAGTAAACCGCTCGGTCAGGGACAGAGGAGAGCGTGGCTTACAATAAAGGTGAAGTTTATGAAAAATACGAATTTTTAAAAAAGAAAAAAACACGAATACATGTTATATTGCACCCCATAAACACAATCATGCAAAGAAAAAAAGCAGTAAACCCCCACTTTAATGATTTCTACATTTAAAATATTATGTGCACAAGCAAATGCACGTATCAGATTCATATCCGATTTATTACCACATTTGAGTGAGGCCTGAATCCGATCTGAGAAAATTTGGGTCACTTGAACCATGCAGTGTAAACAAGGCCTTAGTATACTCTCCCCCAGTCCAGTTTTGCCCCCTCGTGGGTTTTATTTTCTGTTTTTGTCATTAATAAATCCCTGTTTTGAGTTGCTGTCTGTTATTGGGTTCGTCCTTCATCCACTTGACAGCCATCTCTGTTCGAAATCTGCAATTGCAGTCATTCACGGAATTATCAATTATCAAATTATATTTTGTTGTAAAAATGTTAATGTTAACAACATCAGCATTGCAACACTACATTTAATGCCCTTCCGATATTTATCCTTGTTTTTGCATGGATCCGGTTGCAGTCTCTTTTTACAAACTCTCAGTCCAAAGCCTTTTTCATTTTACAGCGGGTGAATCTGTTGTCACTGGTGATTGTCGTTTGAAGTTTGCTGGATCCGCCATCAAATTAATGATGATAATTCGTTCATCAAAATGAACGAATCTTTTTCCGAATCAATTCATCCATTTCGGGTCGTTGAATGAACCAAATGACATGAAAAAAGATTAGTTCATTTTGATAAACGAGTTCAAACAGAAGAGTCACGAACGTGCATCACAGAACAGAGCAAGGCGACCATTTGAGTTTATAAAACTTAAACTTTATTATTTTATTTTTTTTCGAATGAGTGATAATTTCGCTTGATAAGACCCTTATTCATCGCATGGAATTGTTTAAAGCCCTGTCTTACTGTCTTAAAACTGTCTTTTGGACCTTGAACCGTTTGGTTACCAGTAAAGTGCATTATATGGAGAAAATTCCTGGAACGTTTTCATCAAAAACCTTAATTTTTTTTCGACTGAAGAAAAAAAGACATGGATATCTTGGATTACATGGGGGTGAGTAAATTATAAGCAAAAGTTTTTTTTGTTTTTTTTTTTTAAAGTGAACTTCTCCTTTTACTCCTTTCCAAACTGTAATCATTAAAAATGTAGCAAGCTGAATATCATTTCCTAACAGCAAGTAACTTGCAAAGTACTTGCTGTTAGGAAGTGATATTCAGGAACTTGCCCTAAGCAAGGAACTTGCAAAGTAATTTCTGATTAATTCAGTTTGGGAGTAGTAGAGATAAAACTGTCCCCCACTGACCCCACTAACATTGATTCCTTACATGCACTTCGTGAGGCACACGCGCACACAGGGACTGACTGGGACTAAAAACGGTCCTGGACTTTGACTAGACCCAGGCCAAAGCAATTGGCACGTGGAAACTTGACAACAACAACAACAATGCCTGCTGCCTGGAATTATCCTCTTCCTTAAAGAAACTGGGTGGGCTTAAACAAACAGGTGGACTAATAAAAACAATAAGATCAGATGTTATATTTCAGTCTATTATAAGACGATGGCATATTATCGTACAGACTGCATTGAGAAGCCTGTTTCTAAGGCTTTTGAGAAACTCGGCCACCTGGTTGGTTCTCATCCGGTTTGGTTCTTTGTCATTCCTCTGATAGTGTCCACTGCTCTGGGAGGAGGACTGCTTTTTCTCAAAGACTACAAGGACAATGACGTCGAGAATCAATTCACGCCTATCAACGGACCTTCCAAGCAAGCCAGACATTTTGTGAAAGAAATGTTTCCAAATAACGATTCATTGTTTTCAAGTCAAAGACTCTATGCTGAAGGGAACTACGCAGTGTTAATATATTCCGTTGAGGAAGAAAACATTCTAACGGATGAGCTGTTTGAGGAAATCAGTGATCTTGACAAAGTAGTACATAATCTCTCTGTCAATGTCAATGAAACTCAAATAAGCTTCAAACATATTTGTGCAAGAGTGAATGGGAAATGTGTCTCAAATCCCATATTGGACATTATCGAACATAAATGCATCAATTTATCCTTTCCAATACATAAGTGGGAAGGGGAAAATGTTTTTCTTGGCTCTACAGTAGGAGGTGTTGAAGAGAGGGATGGTGTGATCCAGAAGGCACATGCCATCAGACTTTTCTACTTCTTGCAGGATAAGCCTGGAGCCTCTCAATGGCTTCAACAGTTCCAAAATGTTGTGTCCAGCAGAGGACTCAAGGTATGTGACCATGTAAAGGTGTTGATTCATGCCGCATGTACTGTAGGTGCTGTAATCAGATGGACAGTCACAGAATAAACCTACAGTGCTTTATGCATAGTGTATGCAAGTATATTTAGATAACTTTTTCAATCTGCTGCAGGTGTCTCATTTTACCTCCAAGTCCAGACAAGAGGAGATAGAGAAGCACACAAAAGATGGCATTCCTCTGTTTTCAATAACTTACTCACTTGCAATCTCCTTCTCAGTGTTATCTTGTATGCGGTAAGAAACAGATATCACACAGACACTTTTTCATGTTTTATGGGGACATTCCACAGATATAATGATTTTTATACTCTACAAAGTGTAATTATGCCCCCCTAACCTTTACCATTAACATTCTGCATTTTTACATTTTCAAAAAATATCATGTGTGATTTATGAGCAGTTTTCCTCATGGGGACCAAACATGTCCCTACAAGGATGGCAATATCCAAAACCAAAATCTTTGGACATGTTTCCCTCATAATGTAAAGTTTACCATGCCACACATGGGGAATAAGCATATAGTACTATTTATAGATCTATAGAATATATGGAAAATAAAAAAAAGTCCGTCCATCCTTATCTGATCATAAAGTTTTAATTTGTATGTTCACAGGTCTATACATTCTTAATAAAAGTAGAAAGTTGTTTTTAAAGAATTAATCATTTTCTTCAGCAAGGATGTATTCAATTGATCAAAGTAAAAAGGTTTACATTAATCGTTACAGAAATGTATTTTAAATGTAATTAAAATACAATAGACTTTAAAAATATTGTTGGTTTAACTTAAATTAAGTAACATGGCTGTCTTAAAATTTTAAGTTCATTGAAATGGAAAAAAGGAGTTAATACAATGAAGGAGATTGATTTAATCATCAGAAACTCAAAATATTATGTTATGTGAACTATATCAATTATTTAAGTTGATTTGACAAAAGAAATGTCGTGATTACAAATCATGACACAAATTTTGCAAATTTACAGCTTGTAGAACTGTTACGGGCGGCACGCACACAAAAGGGTGATAGTCCAAATGCAGATTAATGGGGAATCAGTAAATCATAAATCCAGGAACAGCAAAAGATCAAAGTCTATGAAAGCAGTCCAAAAACAAGAAATAATCACTTAACCAAACCAAGTCAGACTCTGGGAAGCACATGACAAAATACAAGGATTCCAGAGAAAGTGATTAAACAGACAGGGTATAAATAGATATTAACAAGGTGAGTGGGAACAGTGGAGTGTGATAATAAATAATGAGTCCAACAAGGGTGGTGGGGATTGTAGTCCTATAGTGACTGACACCTGTAGGGGGAAAAAGACCTCTAGTGGCTACCCAGGGGACATCACCCAAACAGTATGATAAGTACAGCGTTGGTTAGCATGAACTTAATAACTGACACCAAACATTTGAATGATGGTGTATATTTTTATACAAAAAAGAAAATGTTTCACTAGTAGGCTCATGACTCTGGATCCTCATTGTATATATAATTTAGAGAATTGAAATAATTGTCTGTCTATTTTATCCTTAGCGTAAGAGGATCTTATACTTGGCTAGTATAACTTGTAAGGAGTCTTTCGGTCTCACCCACTTTAGCTAGTTATTTTAGCTGTACAAAATCGGTTTGTTATGCTGCTTGAGATTGCAAAATGTTATTTGTTATCATACACTGGTTTGTATTCACCATTTACTGCATTTTTGTATTATATTTCCAGTTATTTAATTGACTGCTAATTACAAGTGGTTTGAATTTATTTCAGTCTCGATAATGTGAGGAACAAGTTCTGGGTCTCTTGCATGGGGGTTCTGTCTGCGGGTCTGGCTGTGGTCTCCAGCTTTGGTCTGATGCTCTATTTTAAAGTGCCGTTCGTAATAACAGTGGCTAATTCCCCTTTCCTGATTCTGGGTAAGTGTGTGTCCATGCATAAAACTTCTTCCATTTAATTAGATTAAGTGTATGAACTGCAAAAGAAACAAAAAAATGTATATCTTTGTTGTGTGTTTGATTAACACAAAATGAAATGTTTAACAGAATGTTCATGCTGCTCTTTTCCAATCTAAAAGTAGTCCAACTCATCATTTTAAAGGGATAGTTACCCCAAAAATTAAAATTCTGTCATAATTTACTCACCCTTGAATTGTTCCAAACCTGGATGATGTTTGTCATGGTATCAAAATGTTTGTATCCAAACAGTTGATGGGTCCCATTGACTTCCATTTATTTATTTATTTATTTTTCATACTATAGTGACCGGGGATTTAACACCAGGACCACATTAGGGGGTTCTTTGTACTTTAAGTTTATTCATTTAATGATGTAGAATAAAAACGACGTATTATCAAATGTGGTTTATCAATTTAATTAATTAAAAAAAAACAGTTTTAAATATTCACAAAAGAAACAGAAAAGAGCAGACACAAACAACAAAATACAGTGGGGCCAAAAAGTATTTAGTCAGCCACTGATTGTGCAGTTTTCCTACTTAGAATCATGAGAGAGGTCTGTAATTTTCATCATAGGTACACTTCAACTATGAGAGACAAAATGAGAAAAAAAAAATCCAGGAAATCACATTGTAGGATTTTTAAAGAATTTATTTGTAAATTATGGTGGAAAATAAGTATTTGGTCACCCACAAACCAGCAAGATTTCTGGCTCTCGCAGACCTGTAACTTCTTCTTTAAGAAGCTCTTCTGTCCTCCACTCGTTACCTGTATTATTGGCACCTGTTTGAACGCATTTTGACCATGCTTCAATATCTGACGCTTTAGTTGCCCTTTAGTGTCAGTTAGATGAAGCCAAGATCGCGTGTAACCTTACCCCCACCCCAGACTTAAACCTAACCGCGTCCTCTAACTGACGCTTTCCTTTAGCATCAGTTAGATGACGCCGTAGGATCGCGTCATGTAACTGACGCTAAAGGGCGCCTAAAACGTCAAATATTGAAGCATGGTCAAAGGTGACGCCTTGGAGTGAGAATGCGTTGGTATAAAAGACTCCTGTCCACAGCCTCAAACAGTCACACTCCAAACTCAACCATGGCCAAGACCAAAGAGCTGTCGAAGGACACCAGGAAGAAAACTGTAGACCTGCACCAGGCTGGGAAGAGTGAATCTACAATAGGCAAGCAGCTTGGTGTGAAAAAATCAACTATGGGAGCAATTGTAAGAAAATGGAAGACATACAAGACCACTGATAATCTCCCTCGATCTGGGGCTCCACGCAAGATCTCATCCCGTGGGGTCAAAATGATAATAAGAACGGTGAGCAAAAATCCCAGAACTACATCGAGTGACCTGATGAATGACCCGGAGAGAGCTGGGACCAAAGTAACAAAGGCTACCATAAGTAACACACTACACCGAGAGGGACTCAAATCCTCCAGTGCCAGGTGTGTCCCCCTGCTTAAAGGACAATTCCGGCGCAAAATGAACCTTTGGTCTAATTACACATTGTTACCTATTCAACCGTTATCTGAGATTTGTTTTCATGATTGGTGAATGTAAATAGTTTTATCTCTAAAAACAGTTTAGCTTATAACGCTAGTATAATGCCAGTATATAGGGCATAGAGAAATGACAAATAAAAATCGCTTGTTATTACCACTAACAAGGCTCAAAATAGCCCCACACTAACATGATAGCATAATAAGGGTCCCTACATACAAACCGAAGCATTGAGAACTTTGTCAGTGTCCATACAGTTTAATAAGAAGATATTTTATACACACAGTCAACTTTGCGAATACAGGAAGAAGCCATCTTTGAAAAATAGTCTCTACCAGTCGATCTACGAACGCCTATCTGAGTACTAGTACTAGTTAGACCAAGGGTTCATTTGAGTACTAATTAGACCAAAGGTTCATTTTGCGCCGGAGTTGTCCTTTTGCCAGAGAGCATATGGATGATCCAGGAGAGGATTGGGAGAATATCATGTGGTCAGATGAAACAAAAATAGAACTTTTTGGTAAAAAACAACGCATTCTCACCCCAAGGCGTCACCTTTGACCATGCTTCAATATTTGACGTTTTAGGCGCCCTTTAGCGTCACTTACATGACGCGATCCTACGGCGTCATCTAACTGAGGCTAAAGGAAAGCGTCAGTTAGAGGACGCGGTTAGGTTTAGGTGTGGGGTGGGGGTAGGGTACACGCGATCCTAGGGCGTCATCTAACTGACGCTAAAGGGCGCCTAAAGCGTCAGATATTGAAGCATGTCCAAATGCTTCCCAAGGCGTCAGTTAAGTGACACCTTGGGGGTGAGAATGGGCTGTAAAAAACTCTACTCGTTGTGTTTGAAGGAAGAAGAATGTAGAGTTGTATCCCAAGAATACCATACTGTGAAGCATGGGGGAGGAAACATCATGCTTTGGGGCTGTTTTTCTGCAAAGGAGACAGGAAAACTGATCCGTTTGAGGGAAGAATGAACAGGGCCATGTATTGTGAGATTTTAAGCCAAAACCTCCTTCCATCAGTGAGAGCCTTGAAGATGAAACGTGGCTGGATCTTCCAGCATGACAATGATCCCAAACACACTGCCTGGGCAACAAAGGAGTGGCTCCGTAAAAAGCATTTCAAGGTCCTGGAGTGGCCTAGCCAGTCTCCAGACCTCAACCCTATAGAAAATTTGTGGAGGGAGTTGAAAGTCCGTGTTGCCCCGAAAGTTAACATCACTGCTGTAGAGGAGATCTGCATAGAGGAATGGGCCAAAATATCAGTTACAGTGTGTGCAAACCTGCTGAAGACCAGGAAACGTTTGACCTCTGTCATCGCCAACAAATGATATGTTACAAAGTATTGAGTTGAACTTTTGATATTGACCAAATACTTTTTTTCCACCATAATTTACAAATAAATTCTTTAAAAATCCTACAATGTGATTTCCTGGATTTTTCATAGTTGAAGTGTACCTATGATGAAAATTACAGACCTCTCTCATGATTCTAAGTAGGAGAACTTGCACAATCAGTGGCTGACTAAATACTTTTTGGCCCCACTGTATGCATCCACAAAGCATTGCATTTACCCATGGATGACCTCAAATCCTCTACAATTTCCAGAGAATGCGCGTCTCACCAAAAATCTAAGTCAAGAGCACATGCGCATCGTATCGTACGCAACACACATAGTGCCACCTGTTGATGACTCCAGTAAAGCTTTTTTCCTGTCTTTAAAACTAATCCGTAAATGAGAATGAAATAAAAGACTTTAACATACAAGGAGAACAACAAACTTTACGGGTATTTAACACCTTTTTACACTATGGAAGTGAATGGGGCTCATCAACTGTTTAGAATGTTTAAATAAATGTGTTGATTTTATATTAGATATTTTTCACTCCTAGGTTAAGAGTTAGTTTATAAAGACTGAGCTTTTCTCATAGGCATTGGTGTTAATGACACGTTCATCATGATTTCTAACTGGCAACAGACGAAAGTGAAGGATCCAGTGGAGAAAAGAATGGCAGAAACCTTCAAAGAAGCCGCCATGTCTATAACTATCACTTCATTGACTGACGTACTCGGCTTCTACATAGGACTCATGAGTGAATTTCGCTCAGTTCAGTCCTTCTGCTTGTACACCAGCACATCCATTATTTTCTGTTACATCTATAACATCTTCTTCTTTGGAGGTTTTCTAGCCCTAAACGGCAGGAGAGAGCAGAGTAACAGACACTGGCTGACCTGCTGCAAAGTCCCAACACAGACCCCTAAAGGAAAGTCTTCGGCGTATCGCCTCTGCTGTGTAGGAGGAGACTATGACCAAGAGACCGGTGCTGAGAAACAGCAGCCCGTAACACACTTCTTTAAGTCCTATTATGGTCCATTCATAACTAAGCCTTGGATTAAAGTCTGTGTGATGTTTTTGTATGCGGGTTATTTGTCTGGAGGTATTTATGGATGTCTTAGTTTACAGCAGGGCATTAATATGACGGACCTTGCAGCCGATGATTCATATGTTGTAAATTATTATGATGATGACAGGAAATTCTTCTCCAGGTACGGTCCAAATGTCATGGTGGTAGTGGCCGAAGAGTTTCCATACTGGAATAAAAACAGCAGATTCGCACTAAACCACTGCATGGAGAAACTCCACAACTTGAAATTTGTTAACCGAAATCTGTCCGTCTCCTGGTTAGACGTTTACTTACAATATGCTGAAAACAAAAGCCTAAATCTAGACAACGAAAACGCCTTCATGGGGAATTTATCCTCTTTTTTAATGCTCTATCCAGAGTTTATGCTTGACATCAATGTCACAGAAGGCAAAATCAATGCTTCGAGATTTTTTGTCCAGACTTTGGATATCTCTAACTCCAGTATGGAGATAATGATGTTTCATGAACTCAGAGACAAAGCTCAAAATTGTAATGCAACTAAACTACTGGTGTTCCACCCATTGTTCATCTACTTGGATCAATACTCTGTGATAGTTTCCAGCACCATTCAGAATGTTGGTTTCACCACATCTGTCATGTTGGTTGTTTCCTTGTTATTAATCCCAAACCCGCTCTGTTCCCTGTGGGTCACGTTCTCGATTGGCTCGGTCATCACTGGCGTCACTGGTTTCATGGCATTATGGGGTGTCAACCTAGATTCCATTTCCATGATCATCTTGGTGGTGTGTATTGGCTTCTCTGTTGACTTCTCTGCACATATTTCATATGCGTTTGTTTCTAGCAAAAAATCAACTGCCAATGAAAGGGTGATTGATGCATTGTTTTCTCTGGGCTACCCAGTTCTCCAAGGAGCAGCCTCAACAATAATAGGTGTGTGTGTTTTAGCTGCATCCAAGAACCACATCTTCAGGGTCTTCTTTAAGATCATGTTCCTCGTTATGCTTTTTGGTTTGGCTCACAGCATTATCTTCATCCCGGTGTTTCTGACCCTACTGTCATGCAATTCAAGTAACACTAAGAAGAAAATGACTATGCCTGAAGTTATTCCAAAAGTCATTATGCTTGAAAACAAAAGCATGGCATATGAAAACTATGCTTTTACTAAAGACAATTTCCATGGGTGTAGACAAACTGTGAAAACACAAAGAACCCAAATATATTGTATTCCAAATAATAAGATGCGTTCAGTTTGGTGCAGTGATCCGGACTGTCCATAGCAAGTGAGTTTTTCTATTACATAAAAAAACGTCTGAATTCTTTAATTTCTCTGTAATACACAGGTTACATGTTCTTATCAGGCTCATTTAGCAGAGAAATCAATTTTCTTTTGTTACAGTGTGAAGTGTATTCATTTCTGCACGATTATTCAAAATGAAATTGCACCAAACGATAAAATCGTCAGAGCAGCGCTGAAAACATGTGATACGTGCTGTTCTGTAATTAACCAATAAATGCACAATACATAATAAAACGTAATTTTGCAGCAAAATTTGTCGTTTGGTATCCTATTGTTGACTATCGGTCAGTGTCATTGTAGGTTTTAGTTATGTAGGCTGTAAAGATCTTTAAAATTGATATGGAACTGTAATGTGGTCAAGACCTGCCTGGAACTACTTTAGCTGTGAGTTTCTCTGAAAATAGTTGCATACCTTAGAACGTTTGTCAACCAATCAGAATCAAGCATTCAACAGCCCCATTGTGTATATACATATACAGTATATATATATATATATATATATATATATATATATACTGTGTATATATTATATTATGTGTATTTTACGTAAATAAAAGCAACATGAAGTATAAAACCCATTTGTATTGTCATCCTACAGTTTCAATGTGTTTCAATGTGAAATGTCCAGAGAGTGGTGCTAAAAATATTCAGTTTTAAACGAAAGAGGTGAATGTGAATCAGGTCATGTTACAAAACCATGAATGTTTTGTGAATTTAACCGGCAGTGTTTAGATTGTTCAGTGCATAGATTATTCTCAGATTTTATAGAGTATGAATCTGGATTATTTTTCTTGTTCAATTTCCACAAGAAATTTATTTTAAATTATAGAATTTGGAGAAAATAATTGTATAACCCAGGCCATTGGTGTGAATGAAAGTTGAATGTACTTTAGCATCACACACAATAAAGATAATGTAACTGTTGGAAGTTTATAGAGTGTGATAACCAATGTTAACTCTTTATCAATAGAGTGAGTGATTGCTTTAGAAGGTGTGACTATAAAAAGGCAGCTACTGCATCTGCCTTTTAGCTATGTCCGCTGGGCACTCTCTCTTTTCCTTGCCAACAGCAACTTTTAAACTAAAAATAAGAAAGCATAATTTCAGCCTATTTTTGTGTAGCTGTAATAAATATTCTTTATGTACTTCTCAGATATATACTTAAAATTGCACTTCAGTGTACTTGACTTTTACTGACAGAAAAGTCCAAGGGCCCTATTTTAAAGATCTAAGCACATGGTCTTAAGCGCAGGGCTAGTTTAAAGGGATACTTCACCTCTGGAAAGATGAATGTGTATTTAAAATGGGTCATTTATGTAGAAGAAATGTGAAATTATTTTTGAATTTGGAGCTTTAGACTGAGAAAAGCCAGAAAATGTATTTTTGGCTTAAATGGATGAAAGACAACAACTCCCAGAATGCACTTGCTTCGCTGCCAACAAGTCTCCGTGATGAGTCTGCCCAAAAATGTGTTTCAAGATTGCCCAAAATGTCCGGGATTCAGCTTTTGCGTTCTATATTCATTACATATATGGCGAGCAGGACGAGTGAGGGCCACGGGAGAACGACGCGAGGCCGGTTGCGTGATTACCGATGAGCGACAGCTGTGATACGCACCGGTATCGTATCTCTCACGGAGGGGTGGGAATTTTCTTAGCAACGTTAAAACGCACATAAACAAATCATATGTTTAGCATTCATGTAAACACTACATTCAGATTCACTAATCAGAATGAATTCAGTAAGATTGAAACAAAAGGTGGTACGTGTAAACAATGAATGGCGACAACAGAAAGCAAAAGCTGAATCCTGGACATAGATGGTCTGGGAAAAAGAGGATGGCAACCCCTACTACTCAGCTTTCTCCACAGAACAAGAGCCTGATAGCTTAGCTTTCAAAAAAGATGGCTGACACTATGTGAAGAGTTCAGATGCAAAAGCCTCTAAATGCCATTTGAAATTTTCTTCTTTAATGATGATTTTTATCAAACTTGTATATTTAAGTTCAGTAATTTCACTTAAATAATTATCATTGCCATTTAAGTGAAATTACTGAACTTAAATATACAAGTTTGATAAAAATCATCATTAAAGAAGAAAATTTCAAATGGCATTTAGAGGCTTTTGCATCTGAACTCTTCATGTGTACATTGTGTGAGTGTGATTACACCCTCTATGGGCAGGTTGAGAACATGCGGGACAGCCCCTACCACTGACTGTAGTCTTTAGCGTCTGGCCAAAAAATCCTCAGATGACGCAAAATGACTATGTTTACGTCATCTGAGGATTTTTTCCAGAGAAAAAATACATAAATCTCTCATCTCAGGGGTACTACAGGTTTTCTACTAATACAAAGCCTAATGCTAAATCCTGAAGTATCCCTTTAACAACGGGAAAAATGGTCTGCACGCATGGCGCATGGTCTAAAAGGGTTGCTCCTCCCTATTCTCTTAATGAGTAATGGGTGTGTTTTGGACGTAACATGCAATAAACCAATCAGTCTGAAGTCTCTTCTCCCATTCCCTTTAAAAGCAAGTTGCGCTCGCCAATTTGGTAATACAACATAAAGTTTTGCACATTTTATTGGTGCAAAGATGAGTAGGGAATGTGTATTTTGTACAACATTTGCAAGTGCTTTTTATCACCCAATTAGAAACATCACAATTGTCTTATGTTAGTCACTTAGCGACTACTGAACAGACATTTAGAAGTTTATTTTAAAATGCAAAGTATTGAAAATAATAAAAGCTCTGTAAATACTTGCATTTTGTGTGTACTTGCAAACTATAAGTGTATCCCATCAGGTAAACAAAAGTATATCTGCCATTCTGCCATTTGAACACTTGGGCCAAATAAATACATCATGTAAGTAGACAAGTGGTGAAGTGCAAAGACCACAAATGTGGGTATTTGGACAGGTTTTTAAAGGGGTGATGAACTGAGAAATCAAATTTTCCTTGAGCTTTTGACATCTAAGAAGTCATCATATTATAAGAATATTCTGTAAGTTTCAGAACTGAAAAATTCCGTGTTAGTCCAATAAAAGCATTTGACACCAGGATCAGCAAACGAAGATCAACGCCTACTTCAACACGGCCATTAGCCCCACCCACCGATTCGCTGTAACAGTCACTGCCTGTCACAGGGTTTCTTTCATTACAATTGTGGGTGCTATTTTCTTCCTAGCCACTAGAGGGATGAAAGAGGGCACATTATATGGGATAAAACAGGAAGCAGTAGAGTAAGTGAGATTAAAGTCTGTTTGATGCTGCCTCATGGTTGTTTACTAACTATTTTCCAATCCTGTTTGAGAAACTGTTTGTTTCCTGCTGAAACGTAAGTTTGATTGTTTGTGTGAAATGTTTGGGTGAACTGATGGTGAATCTATTTAGTGTAATTGATGTGTTGATGTTTTTCTTGTAGAGGATTGGTTTGGGATGTACCAGTTGCTCGTCAACTGTGGATACTGCTAAGTGGTGCTGACCAAACACTATGCTTATACTACTGAAGTACTTTTCTGATTCGTTTGATGAGACTAACAACTCACTAAACAACTAAGCATTGGACAACCTCCTATGTCGTTACAACCCACCTTTGCACCTATGTTCAAACTAAAGGTAACCCTGACATCTTTCATCTTCTGAGCTATTGGACATTGTGAACATCAGAGGACTGTGTTAGACATTTCGATTCACCTATATGCATATACTTGTGCATGACTGAAACTACTCAATTGATCTCTGTATACAGGTGTATGTTCTGTGACATTTCGGGTATGTGGGATAATGAATGAGTAAAGCTTTGACTATATGAAGAAAGAAACACTGCGCTTGTTTGTGGAAGAGTTTATTTTAGATATTTTCATCTGAGCCCAATTGAGCATTGCACGCAGTTGCCCCCTTTTGAAATGTAGCTTGACCAGTGCAAAGAAGCTGGGAATGTTATAGATTGGTGGCCCGTACGGGGACATTGTGTTGCATATTAATGTGAAAGGTTCATGGTTTGAGGCTTGCATTGGGTAATAGAAATGTCCATGGGCGAGGCTAGCCCCTTTTTAGGGGTGCTTCAGCACCCCTAAAAAGGAGCTCAGCACCCCTAAAACTTGGAGCAAGAAATGTTGTTATTGTAAAAATTTTGTTCGTCTTTGACACGGTTAAATAATGTCCAAAACAAACTCAGTAGTTTGGTTTAAAATGAAATGAAAATGAAAATCTTTCTCTTCTTCTATGTTACTTATTTGTACCTGCACCGCTCAGCACGGCCGTCATCCAGCGCGAAACACATGCAGAGTTAAGAGAATCCGGGCCGTTAGGTAGTTTTGTGAATCAACTGAGACGCTCCAGAGCTGTGTCTCACACTTTTTTTCCTTTCAGTTGTTCCGATTCCGAAACCATGTCGGTGAGTACTGGAGTCAGCATCCTGAATCACCATGGTACAACTATAAGTGTTTATTTTCGGACTGTTTTAGTCTAGCGGGCTGGCCTAAAAAAAATCTATACATTGCAAGTTCGCCATGCGCCCAAGCGAGGGGCAAGAAAAAAATGTTGTTGTTTTTTTTTTTTTGCATTTTCGATAACGGAGCGTATATTTGCAGTAAGTGCCTGTCTTTCTAGTAAATAGATGCACGTCACAGAGTAAGTACAGTGGCGTAGGTCGTAGTGCGTGAGTGATGTGCTTGAAAGCACTCGACCTGAGTTCGATTCCGCCTTTTGCAGAACTCTCTCTTCTCCCTTTTCCCAACACATATAGATGTAAAATGTATAACCTAACATAAAGGGCTCTAGTGTTATATTTTGCCAACAAACGCGATAAGCATGGTTATATCTGGTATTTTCTCCTAAATACAAGCTTAAGGGTTTATTTCTTGCAAGTTTAGAAATATGACAAAAGTATTTTAATTTTCCTATAGTATAATGTTGACTAAAATATACTTTTGAAATGTTCATTTTCACTTATATAGTACATTTATAGGCTATATGGATTTTACATCATAGGAATAATTATATAAA